ACTGAGCTGCAGGGGACGCACCGGCCTCCAGGCTCCTGAGTGGTGGCCGGTTGGTTACCTGCCTCGCGGGATCCCGGCTTCCGGGGGGAATGTGCAGTTTCACCCGCCTCGCTAGGAAAGGGTGAACACTGCAAACTAGTTGTTTTTCTTTCTCACAGTTCATCTTATCTCCAAAAACTATTCCATGTAGACAGTAAGCCTCTGTGAGAAATCCTGGGCAGTGTTTGTTTTCATAAATAATTTAAACCGAAAACTCAAAACACACTGGACAGCAACGATAGAATAAATAAGATAAGCACCAAAGAAGAGTTTGGCTGGAGAGCTTAGTGAAGTTTAGCGAAATATGGGCCTCTTGTTTTTCTGTTCCTTCTACAGTGTCTGTGATGGGAGCCCGGTTTGGGAGGAGCCCTGGCTCGGCCCGTTGTTTCCTGATGCGGTGGGTGTCTGTGATGCCCTCCTGGTATCAGAGGAGCAAGAAAATGCTGATGGGTGAAAGGGGAGGAACCCGGCTTAGCTAATGCTCGCAGGGCCCAGGCAGATTTTGTGGGATGAACAGAATTCTTGTGGGCTGAATGTTTTTTGAAAATTCTCTCCAAGAATGCATGCGACTTAAATATTGCTTTACCAAAAGGGGATGAGGAACGGAATGGTTTGCACTGGTGAAGAAAAAAAAAAAATGGTTTTCTCCTCTGGTTCCTGATCCCTTCTCTCATAGAGTAGAAGGGAGCAAACCAGTGGCTGGATAGGTACTTCCAATTATTTTCTTCTGATCCAACCAAGCAGTCTTTCTGTGTGAATCAAACATGAAGCCCCCAGAGCCACAGCTTTGCTGAGGAGAAGGAACACGAGGACAGAGCCAAGCCCAGGCTTCCAGTCCTAGAAACAGCAAGGATCCAGCCCTACTCTACCCAGGGGCTAGTGTTCCTGTTATTTGTCACTGTCAGTGATGTTTTTGTTGTTGACGCTGACGCTGACGTAGTTTCTGCTCAGCAGGGACCTGAAGTGACAGGAGCAGAGGAGTGTGACATCACGGGATGCGGAGGAGGAACGGACTTGTAATTCACAGTCACCAGGGGCTCCCCTTGCTCAGAACTTTCAGATTGTTCCCTTCCAAACTCACTGAGCCTGGAGCTAGGTTGCTATAAATAAATTTCTGTTCCTGTGACGTAACTGGCTGGGGGCAGTCTTGAAGCTGAAGGAGTGTCAGGTGATTTCTTATTCCTTCCTTTTGGGGGAGGATCAGGGCTTCCTCCTGCACCTTCCTTGGTGTTCCCCCTCCCCACCAGCCCCCCACCCCTACCCCTTGAGCTCATCCCTCTGACTGCAGCCCTCGCAGACAGGCCGCCTTCTGTGCAGAAGCCACCACTGGGGGGGCAGAACACAGAAGGTACATCTACGCCCGTGGGGGATGACGTGGGCTTCGTGACTCACTGTAACTCAGTCCCGGTAAACACAGCAAACCCCAGTGCTGCCGCTTTCTAGCATCGTGACCTTGGGCAGCTGACTAACTCCACTGATTCTCACTCCCCTCGTCGGTCAGAGGGGCCTGTGAGATGGCCCCGTGCGGCCAGAGTGTTGGGGAGCCCGAGGCACTGTTGGTCAGATGCTTAGCAGAGTGACTGGCTCATGGTGCGTGCCCAAGATGAGACACTCACCACCACCACCATTATGATCTTAAGAGTATTTTAATTGTTTCCAATCCAGTTTCTCGGTTTACTTCTATTTCTGAAGTCAGCCTTTGCCAAATAACGTGACTCTGATTTTCTGGAAGAAGAAAGACTCTTTCTGTTCAGGCCTGGACGTCACCCTTGTTTTTCTGTCCCGGAAGTAGACGTGTGTTTCTAGAGCCCATTCCTCCCCTGGCAGGAAGCTGAGGAGAACCTGTGTGGTTGCTCAGGTGCCCTCTGGAAACCACCTTTTCTGCAGCATTACAGCTTTCTGAGTCAGCAGGGATGCTCAGAGCTTCTTCTGTTTCTTTTATAACCAGCCTCCTCGTTTACCCGGCCTCCTGGTGCCTGTGGAAGCCATCAGTGACCACAGGAACACTTCCCATCCTCACAGTTCTAGAATAAAAATCAGCCAAAACCGGTTTGGCTCAGTGGATAGAGCATTGGCCTGCGGACTAAAAGGTCCCGGGTTCGATTCCAGTCAAGGGCATGTACCTTGGTTGCAGGCACATCCCCAGTACGGGGCGGGCAGGAGGCAGCTGATTGATGTTTCTCTCTCATCAATGTTTCTACCTCTCTATCCCACTCACATCCTCTCTGTAAAAGAAAACAAAAAACAAAAACAAATAAACAAACAAAAAAACCAAAACCATCCTAAAACCCAGCTCTACATTTCAGTCAACAGTGACCCTGGTCAAGGTTATTGTTCCTCAAACTCTGCAAGCATTTTGACAAGTGCCTTTAATGGTTCTTTTTTAGCTGCTGTTCTTTGATCTAACATGCATAACCCAGAGTTTGGGGTTTTAATGATCATCGGTGACATGATTAAAATTCATTAGTTTTGAGAGGTTTTTAAGTAATCAAAAGTGTAAAAACAGTTTGATGTAATATTTCTCTCAAACGACTTGATTTTCTTGTTCTGGCCAAGAAAAGCAGAGAAAGACACACCTCAGAGGTGAGCAAGTAGGCAGGGAAGCTGCATTACCTCCATTCATTCCCTCAGCCTTCTGAGTAGACGGTTCCAAACCCTTACCACCAGGCATAGTCACCTACCATGCCCTTGAACAAGTCTGTATCATGGTCAGTGTTTGATCTATACTTGAAGGCATTAGGACGAATAAGTGACACGAGATGAAACCCATTTGAACACATTAGATTATGGAAAGTCATTCCAAAATGCTAAATGTAATCTTTCTCTCCAGCTTTCAGTGGACATTAATGGCTAAATTCTGCCTCGAGGCACATAAACACATTTGACCAAAAGAAGAAGGAAAAAAAAAAAAAAAAGCTATGCAGCATGAACACCCTTGAAGAAATAGAGCCAAATTCTGAGATGGCATATAATTATGTACTAGTTACCAGATTCTGAAATAGCATGTAATATGCCAAAGAGATGTTTATTTCCTCTTGTGTTTTCAAAAGGGTCCCACCCAACCACTGAAAGGAGTAGCATCAAAATAACTCAGGGTGGGTTGGACCCTCTCCTGCTGCTTAGCACACAGACCTGCAAAGGCACTGCTAATTTGGTGCATACCAACCCTTAGCATATTTTAGGAAGTAGCAGGAATAGTGTATGCAGGAGGTTTCCAAGGGCTTCAATTTGAGCCAGTTCACTTGAGCCAGTCAAACACAGGGAGGGGTGTGTGGCAAAAGTATATGATTTAGGAGTCATATCTAGTTATTAGGTCTATTTGTACACCCAGAAATGGGGACTTCCTAGTGGTCAAGCAGGTCACGGCACTGCAAGTGAAAGCTGGGATTTCTAAAGTAACTAACCAAGTTCATCAATGACCCAGGGTTTTAATATCCACCCAATGCAAAGTCTACCTTAGCAAATCATCTAATTACACATAGGTGATATATGGACCACCTTATTGAAGGGCCATGAAAGCCATGCAATTGATTCTTAACCCCTTACTTGAGATCCTTTCTGGAACAAGGCAAGGAATAGATTAAAATAATCTAACTCACTGTGGTTCCCTTTGAAGTATTTTCTGTGGGTTGCTATATACTTACTTCGACCAATACTCAGGATATCTTAGAGACAACCTGATTTCTTTTTTCTTTTCTTTTCTTTTCTTTTCTTTCTTTTCTTTCTTTCTTTCTTTCTTTTTTTTTTTTTTTTACAGACCTTGTGGTGAGTGGCTTGGAAACTGCTCCACTGAGGATGGATTTGACTTGTAGGAATAGTTCCAAGTCCTCTGGATCTAAGTCTGATAAGCAGAGTTGGCGGTCAAGTTGAGGAACACTGGCTCTCATCCATGACAAGGTGTTTGGTTCAACAGAGAAGAATAGGATTCCACCCCTGCCCTTAAGAAGCTGTGGTCCAGTTTGAGAGGAAGTCACCCAAAAGACAGTTTCCTAAGCTTTGGGCGAGAGGTAGGAAAAGGGTTTTGTGGTTCATTGAAGTGACGGAAATATTCTAAAACCGATGGTGGTGATAGCTGCAAATTTGGTGAATTTATTGAAAGTCAGTAAATTATACACTTAAAACAGGTGAATTTTATTATATGCAATTATAACTCACTGAAGTTTTTGTTTGTTTGTTTTTTTGGTGCTATAGGAGTTCAGAGGTTCCCTTTGACTCTAAATTAAACTGGACTCATCATCATCCTTGTCAAGAGAGTAAAGTAAAGAAGGGTGAAGAAGAGGTTAGAGACAGGATTGAGTTCTTGGGTCTTGGACCCAACCTTAAGTGAGGGAAACAACCGAAGGTTTTCATGCATTCCAATGGCAAAGTCAAATTCACATTTTAGATAAGATTTTTCCAAGAAAGCAGGCTGGAGGCAAGGATATTAGTATAGTCTTGGTGAGAAATGATGGAGGCTGAAACCAGGGTGGTGGCAATAGGATAAAAAAGGGAGGCCCAAGGTCGTGAGCTTTTCAGTAAACTTGGCAGGAGCTGGTGATAGTGGGATGTGCGTGGTGAGGGAGGAGGAGTCAGGGAGGGTTTAGGCCACTATCACCAGGCAGGGAATAGTGGGGAGGGAGGCAGGAGGAAGGATATGTGGAGTGCAACCATGGTCACACAAATGTCTAACAACAATGTGCATCTGATCCTGACACTTTGGGAAGACTCAGCTTACAAGTCATTAGCATAGGAGTGGTGGTTTAAAACATAGGGAGAGATTTGCCTGGCTGGTATGGCTCAGTGGTTGAGCATCAACCCATGAGCTAAGAGGTCCCCGACCTGATTAGATTCCCAGGCAAGGCACATGCCCGGGGTTGCGGGCTCCATCCCCAGTGAAGGGAGCATGTGGGAGGTAGCCGATCAATGTATCTCTCTCATCAATGTTTCTATCTCTCAATCCCTCTCGCTTCTTCTCTCTCTAAAAATCAATAAAAATATATTTTAAAACAACATAGGACGGGATGAGATGGATCATGGAGACCTAGTGAATTAAGAAAAAAATGGGGCGGAGGATGGAAAACTGGGGGAATTAACATTTGAGGGGTGGGGAGAAGAGTGAGAGAAACAGAAGGAAAATCTGGAGAGTGTGATGTCGTAATACCAAAGGAGTAATGTTTCAAGAAAAAAAAGTGTCAAATGTAAATAAAGCTCCAGAAAACAAAGGCTAAAAATGTGAGCTTTGAAAAAAAGTAGACAAGTTAAAAATAGTGATGGTAGCAGAGCGAGATGATGGACAAGTGAACATGTTGCTGTGTGTCATCCTTCGTTCCTTTCTTTCTCTCATCCCCCCTCTCCAGCTATCAGCAAGACGTCTGTGCTGCTTCTATTTCCTGGGTCGGGCCACTTCCTGCGACCTTGACTCCTACCGTCTGGCCGAGCCACCAGAATTTCTCTCCTAAATGTCCACTGTAGTTTCCTTACTAGTTTTTCTGCTGCTTCTCTTGCCCCTTTCAGACCTTTCCCCACACAGCAGCCAGAGAGATCTTTAAAAAAAAAAAGTAGATCAGATCATACCGCTCCTCTGCTTAAAGTCATCCAATAATTCAAAAAAGAAAAAAAGAGCAAGAAAATTATCCAATAATTCTCATTGCGATCATAATAAACTCCAAATACCAAGCTTTGTCCTGAAAACACAACCCGGCCCACGCTTGCCCTTGATCCATGTGTTTCGGCCATTCTGGCCTTCTTTTGTTTCCTCCAAGTTAGTTCCTGTCCGTTGGCTCTTTCCCATCATTTACCTGCGCAGCCAAAGTTACTTCCTCAAAGAGGACTTTCCTGCCTGTTTAAAGGAGTATCACTCTCACCTCCGTTACCCCGGTTTTATCTGCCTCGTTATACTCATCAGTAATGGAAGTGATCTTACATATTTATTTACTTGTGCGTATTATTTGTTTCTCGATTCTGGGATAAGAACGCTGGGAGAAAAGGGACTTCGTTCAGGACATAGTAGGCACTTAAGTATGACTGTTTATAAGAATAGTGTTGAAAGTGCTCTTACGAATAAGAACGGCGTTGAAAGCCCAACAGAGATTAGAAAGTGAAACTGCAGGGGCTCAAAGCCACACACAGTAGTGTGATTTTTTGTTTTCCAACAGAGACCATCAGACAAGACTGATTATCTTATGTGCCTGTTCTGAGGACAATTTCAAACAAGTGTTTCGAAACGTGGACTGGGTGGCAGAGGCATCTTTGTGAAAAGTAGATGTGCTCCCAGCATGACCAGTTCGAATATGTACGTTCTCCCTTGTTGTATACAAATCCCCTCAATTGTGTAGTCTTGTAGGTAGGCGTGTTGCCAGGTTGCGGGAGAAATCTGCTGACTCCGTTTCCAGCCCCAACGCTAAGCTGTGTTACGCGGGTGAAATCAGGTTACTGAGATAGGTCTGGTTTCCTTGGTGACCTGGGAGGTTCAATTATATTTGAAATTGCTGAGGAGGAGGAGAACCTGATAACAGAAGTTCCATGTATTCCTTAGAGATGGAGCACTTTTTGATCCTCAGTTGATCGAGGCTGACGACATGCCTCCCTGGTTGGTGAGGGTTGACCTCCGGGCCAGTGCCAGCCAGCCAGCCAGCCAGCCAGCCAGCGGGCTGAATGACACTTCCAAAGTCTGTCCTATGCCAGCGCTGGATAATGGCATCATGACTCCTCGGGCTCTCTGTTTTGTTTTTGGCAGCTAGACGCTGTAACTAGGGTGACGAATAGCTAGCTTATTGTGGAATGTGCTAACCATCTTTCTTCTGGCGGGATGACAACCAAGGGCCAAGTCACTTTATAAATAGCAGGGCAACCCAATTTACTCCGTAATGTCTTTTCCCTTGCTACCTGGTTTATCCCATGGAAGCCCTAATGTCATCTGTTGGCAAGGTTGGTGTGCCATGCTCTGTGCTAAATACTTGTAAAAGGTTATCTCATTTCGTTCCCATGACAGTGTTAGGAGGTGGGTACTATTATTATCCTCATTTTACAGACGAGGAAACTGAGACTCGGAGGTACAGTGGCTTTTCAGGATCACGTGGCTTGTAAGTGGTGGGTTTGGGGTTCTAGAAAACGGATGGGTGTGTGCTGAACTTTCTCTAAGACTGTAAACGAAGGTGGACGGTAACTCCTGTTTCCTGCAATTACTGTACCTGATATTCAGACTCCACCTTATGCTGCATGTCCCGCAGAGTTTGAGCATCGCTGAGGAACTTCTGTCTGTCCCTTGCTTCATGCAACATGATTCTTAACCCCTGACCTGCATATAAAGAGAAATAAATGTGCTGTGACAGAACCCTTTGTTACTCTGCCATATTTGGAATTAGTATAATTGCGTTCATTCCCATTATTAATCTAATTTCCATTGTTTGACAGGCACAGATGCTCCTTTCAGACTCAAGGGACTCTTTGTATCAGTGTGGATGCCCTTACCAACCCTCCTGTTCTTGGGCATAAATAATGCAGCCATCGGCTGGCTTTGGTGATCCTGTCTTGGTTAGTCACAGGCATTACAGACTGACAGATGCCTGATTCAGAAGCAGGTCTACAACCTGACAAAAAAGAAAACCCAAGAGCCTAGCCAAGTCATCAGTGACTGAAGTTATGAGCCCCTGGGAACTGAGTCATTTACTCAACCATTCTTGCACCCTAATTCCAGCCCAGGCACTCTGCTGGGCACAGGGGTAGAGAGCGCTTGGCAAGATGAACATGGCCCTTGTCTTGAGGAGCTTATGGTCTAGGGTGAGAAGGCTGACATTGAGCGAGTGAACCTTAATTGTGATAAATGCTAAGGAGATGTATGGGGTTCTAAGAGAGTATTATTATTATTGGGGGTGGGGTGGGGAGGGGAGAGTGGGAATCATAGCCTGGCCAAGAGGCCAGGTGTTCCTTAGGAAATGACACTGCATTTGCGAAGGGGCAGAGGCAGGTAAGAGGCAGGACAGAAGGGACAGCAGGTGCAGAAGCTTCAGGGCAGGGAGGGGCTGTTGTGGATGAGAAGCAGGCGGCCCGGGGGGGGGGGGGGGGGGGGGCGGTTGGAGCACAGAGATGGGGAGATCAGCACCAAAGGGCTGGAAGGTGAGTGGGAGCCAGCTCATGGGGGTGGGGCCTGGAAGCTCAGGAGCCATAGGACAACCCTGGAAGGTTCCAGTCTGGGGAGTAGATTTGCATTTTTAAAAGGCCCCTCCACCTGTTGTATGGAGAATAGATGGAAGGTTGGATGGGGATGTGGAGTAAACATGGAAGTGGAAAGACCGTTGGGAACATACTATAGTAATCCAGATGAGATAAGACACTGGCCAGACTCGGGTAGCAAAAGTGGAGATGAGAAGCCCTGGCCGGTTTGGCTTAGTGGATAGAGCTTTGGTCTTGGGACTGAAGAGTCCCAGGCTCAATTCCAGTCAAGGGCTTGTACCTTGATTGCGGGCACATCCCCAGTGGGTGGTGTGTGTGTGTGTGTGTGTGTGTGTGTGTGGCAACTGATTGATGTTTCTCTCTCATCCTCTCTGTAAAAAAATCAATAAAAAAAAAAAAGTGGAAATGAGGAGGAGGAAAGAGGTGGGGGTCAAGGGGAAGGAGGAGGAGGAAGAGGAGATCAAAGATACTGCTTATTGAGCCTCTGCAAGTTATAAACATTTACACATATTAACTCATTCAATTCCTCACGAACACCCTATGAGGCAGGCACTGTATCTCTATATTGTAGCCGAGGAAACTGAGACCAAGGGATTCTGCAACTTGCCTAAGGTTAGAGAAATACTAAGTGGAAAAGTTGGGATTTGAACCCAGAGAGTCTCACGCCAATGCCCACAGGAGATATGCAGGAGAGATAGTCTTCAGGCGTTGGTGATGACATGAATGGTGTGGGGGAGGGAGGGAAAGACAGAGAGAGAGAGAGAGAGAGAGAGAGAGAGAGAGAGAGAGAGAGAGAGAGAGAGAGAGAGAGAGAGAGACATCTATGATGAGAATCATTGATCGGCTACCTCCTGCACGTTCCCTACTGGGGATCGAGCCCACAACCCAGGACCCTTCAGTCCACAGCCCAACACTCTATCCACTGAGCCAAACCAGTGAGGGCTCTACGTGAATTTCTTTAATGATGATCATGTGACAGGTGCTGTCTAGGCTTTGGGGAAACAGCAGGAGAAGTCAGACAGCATTCCTGCCCCCAGGTGTCTACATTCTGCCACTTTTCTTCATTCTCTGGTTTCTCAGTTATGCAGACATTGGCGGAATCAGCTTGCCCCTGACTCATGGTGACCCAATGTCTGACCTTGTTGCTGTGAAATCTTCCCAAGTTTATCATCTAGCCCTGAGCAACAGGAAGAACTAGTGTTGGTCCCTCCGGGGTTATTTCACTTCAAGTACAGAAACACAGTTTAATAGGTAGTTCCACAATCTACTAGTATACATACAACCCAAATCTCTGAGTCTTTTAAAAGTCACTTATGAGATTATATTTTATATTTTATTATAATTCTCACTTGAGGATATGTTTAGTGATTTTAGAGAGAGAGAAAGGGAGGGGAGGAGGAAAGGGGAGAAAGAAAGAGTAACAATGATGTGAGAGAGAAACATGGATCGGTTGCTTCCCATATGCACCCTGACCAGGGATTGAACCTACAATGTATGTATGGGCTCCAAACGGGAATCAAACCTGCAACCTTCTTGGTGTATGGGATGATGCTCCAACCAACTGAGCCAGCTAGTCAGGGTGAGAGATTATATTTTAAAAGATGACTTTTCACTTTGCACATGAGTTTGTACTTGCGCAAAATGAAGTTCCTACCCTTTTCAGAAAACGATGGTGTTAGAACAGGCAGAAAGATGAACCCCGGATGCTACTGTCAGAAAGGGAAGCCTGTCTGAATATTAATCAGGCCAAGAACATAAGGATTTATAATGAAAATATGTTAATGGTCGCTACAGGGGCACGTTCCTGAGTCTGCTGGGTGACACGTTCTGGTTACCAAGTTAATGTAGAAAAGCCAGCTAATCGGTCCTGCTTTAATGCGGTATTATTTTAAGGAGGCTTCCAAATCAAGAGTCATGAAATAACTTTGTTTAAATAGGTAGGAAATAACACTATTTGAATTACTTGCTAGGTTACCGCTGACTTCACAATCACCTACCAAATGAAAGACTTGGAAATTGGCTACAAAAGTCTCTCTTCCCTCCCATAAACTCTCTATGGATAGACTTTACCAGAAAGATGAATATTTAGAAGCCACATGCGATTTTTTAAAATCTAAATACATCAGTACTTCGTGAGGTTAGACAAATACTATCAGACCAAGGAAAACAGATCGTGAGAGACAGGTCCGGGAGATGGCCGTCGCCACCGATTAGGCAAACATTCTCCACATTCCTGATGTCCCTTGAACGTCATACTGCACTGCCGGTTTGAGAAATGGACCAGGATGAGCAAGAAACGGAAATAACTGTATGGAAATAAATCCACACGAGATCATGCTTGATCTATGGACCTCAGCTTGAGGGCCTACTCAACCAGATGGCTATTTGAAGCCAGAAAAGTTTCCTTGGCAAATACAGACAGGTGGGAGGGAGGAGAAGGAAGATAAAATGTGGGCAAGTATTTCTAAAATAGCATCCCGTATTCGCTCGTTTCTCACCTTTCAACTGCGTTTCAATGTGTAAGCCCACTCATGGTCATGCATGCTTCTGTTTTAAGTCTCTGGTGATACTATATTGGGCCGAATCTGTGCCTTAGACATCTACATAAGAAACCATTTTAAACTGGGAGGGAAAAGACAAGGGGGAGCAAGTAGGAGGCATGTGGGAAAGCAAGGGCAGATGATCCTCCTTGGCCTCAAAATTCTACGTATCTGTGAAATTTCAATGAGGAATATTCTAAGAACTTCGGTGACATATGCATTCCTCGCATGTGTAAATTTCCAACAAATTTCAAATTTCCCTGATTAAGGAGAGCAGAATGTGACTGCTGAAATATTTTCCAGTTCCCTAATATATATATATATTTATATTTATATTTATATTTATATTTATATTTATATTTATTTACAGCTATGCTCTCTGTTCTGTGGCCACACTTGTCAGAATTTATTTGAAGGGATTTCTTTTTAATAGCCATCAAGCTATTTCACTGTTTTCTTACTATGTTCTCATATTAGAGATACCATTAAAGTTAATCTTTCATTGGTGCAGCAATAAGGAAAAAGGTAAACTTAAGCCCCTCTTTAGGCTGAAGTGTCCTTTGAAACAAAATCCAAATGGCTATATTAATACCTGACAATCCTGTTGATAAAGTCCCCCTGTGATGTAGAAATTGCCAGTTATGAAAACAGTCATGGGGATATAAATACAGCATAGGGAATAGAGTCAATAATCTTTTAATAACTATGTCTAGTGTCAGATGGGTACTAGACTTATCAGGGCAATCACTTCCGGAAGTTCTATAAATGTCTCATTACTGTGTTGGTATACCTGAAACCAATATAATAGTGGATGTCAACCATAATGTGAAATAAAAAATAATAATTCTTCCTGTTCCTCAACTGAGTGCCTAGAAGGATTTGGGAGATCTTATTCATCCGTTTACACAGTTAATTTGTAATGCCAACTATCTCAGGTTTTGCTTAAACCTTAGCTTTAAAAAAAACCACAGAGTTTTAAAATCTTATTAAAATGTCTTGCGTGTAAGCAACAAAGATAAGTGATTCTGGCTTAACTGGCCTCCCGCTCCGGTGCTGAGAGGATTAAAGGACAGGAATTGAGGGGTGGAGGAGTTCGATGTGACTCTCCCAATCAGTTTGGCTTAGGAAATCCGGGCTGGTGGAGGGGATGAGGGGGAGGGGGGATGGCGGGTGTCCTTGGGGGTGACTCTTCATCATTGTGTTGTGAAACTGGGAGAGATGGGCGGCCACACGCTAACCATCACTTCCGAGGGTGGACATGTCAGGCAACACCAACAATTTCGCCCTCAGAGGCCCAGGGGGCAAGCTCTGTAGATGCGGGCGGCGGCCAGCGTGCAGGTGATGATCAGAGTCCCCCAAACCGGTTCATCGGAGCCAGAAATAACGGCGTGATGCCAACATGAGGGCGGAGGAGGACAGAAGGGCCAGGCGCCCAGGCTTCCGGCCTGATTTCCCCGCGGAATCGGTTTAGTCCAAGGGGAGGCTGTCCCTTTCCCTCCCCCCCTCCCTCCCCCCGCACCTACGCGGAGGACCAGGGGCCGCGGGGGCGGGCGGGGCCGGGCCGTTACCTGGCGGGTCAGTGCTTCCTCCCCAGCCGGGGGCTAAGGGGCCCAGGGGCGGGGCAGGCAGGCAGGTCCCCGGTGGAGAAGCGGCCCATCAATCGCACCTGGGAGGCCGTCCCCGAGCTCCTCTTCCTTCTCCTCCTCCTCGCTCGTCTCCCCTCCCTCTACCGGCCCCTCTTCCTCTTCCTCCTCCCCGGCTTTCCTCGGCGGCTGCCGGCCTTTCTCGGGGCGGAGGCGGTGGGGGCGGCTCCCTGGCGTCCTCCCGTTTCCCTGGCAACCGGCCCCCTCCTTCCGCGCGCGGGAGCCGGGGCCCTGGCGTGGAGGGAGGGTGGGGGCTGCGGCCCGTGGTCCCGAGCAGGGACGTGGGGCGCTCGCTGGTTGCCGTGGGAACCAGTGGGATGCGGTTTGGATGGCAAAAAAACACAAAAAAACGGTGATAGCGGAGGGCGGAGGAGAGGAGATGCAGAAGGAGGGAGGAGACGGATTGGCTTTGTCTTGATTTCCAAACCTAGATACGGAGGCCTACACTCCTGCCCTGAATCCGTGCTGTGCTTTGCAAAGAATGAGACTAGAAAACGAGGGAGGGGAATATTTTTAATCGAATAAAAGCATATTAAAGACAGTACATAGGCAGAGGGAAAGGGAGCGCAGGTGGGATGGAGGGGTGTGTGTGTGAGAGAGCTGTGCCGGGGGTCTCTGCAGTGCGTGCTTCACCCTGAAAAGGAAGACACGAATGATGAAGGGTGGCAGAGCCAGACAAGAAGCCAGTGAGCTCCCCGTTATCAGTTGTCTGGGCGGCCTTTCCCTGGGAAGGAGGAGCTTAGGGGGTTAGGGCGGTGCCCACAGAGCCTTGCCCTCTCTCTGCCAGGCTTGTCTGTGGTTTTCATAGGCAAAGATGACTCTTCCATTTATTTTGCATACAGGGTGGGGCAAAAGTAGGGGAGAATCCAGATAAAAAGTATTTAGGTAAAATCTTTGTTTGAGGCACTTTGCCACCCAACCTTCACTGATCCACCAGCAGTCAGTATCTTTCCATCTCCAGTAGCCCAGCCCAGCTTCAGCTCTCAGCTAGCTATCCAGGCAGCCTTAGTAAAGCATTAACTGGTCCTTGACGCTTTAACTGATAAGTACCAATCTAAGACCTCTCCCCGTGGTTTTCTGCCTTTCAAAACAAGATACCTAAAGAAGCAAAATCTTTAAGACACACGATTAAAACTATAATAGTGAAATGACAGGTAGAAGCTTGTTCTGTTGGCCAGGACACCTCTTAAATAAAAATAATTATAACAATTCTCGATTAACCGAGGAGGAAGTTGAAGCCCAGGTTAGGTAGTTGAAGAGAAATGACATGCCCAAGGATACCAGGTAAGTAACAGATCAGGACTCAAAAGCAGAGTTTCCTGTTCCCAATTCCATGGTGTTGCCTCCAGCAAGGAAATTTGCACCTTGGGCCCAGATTTTTCTCCTTCTCATTTCAAGATTTGTTTAAAATAATACTCTCTACCTCAAACCATTGCTGAGGATGAAATGTGAGAGGATAAACAAAGCATTTAACATCATACTTGGCATATAGTAAACCCTCAATAATCAGTAGTTTTACTTTCTGGGGCATATTTTAAGCTTTTATTTAATGCACATGAGTGTAAGCCATAAATATTTTAAGATTTTTAAATAACAAGGTTTGGAGATATCACGTCACGGCTCAGGTTTTTAAAAAATATATATTTGTATTGATTTCAGAGAGAAAGAGAGAAGGAGAGAGAAATAGAAACATCAATGATGAGAGAGGATCATTGATTGGCTGCCTCCTGCACACCCCCCACTAGGGATCGAGCCCACAATCCAGGCATGTGCCCTTGACTGGAATCAAACCTGGGATCCTTCAGTCTGCAGGCTGACACTCTATCCACTGAGCCAAAGCAGCTAGGGCTTATTGCTCAGTTTTAAACTTTTCTACATGTCAAGGACCTCCAAAAATTTAAGTTGTTGAAAAGAATCATGGTGCCTTTGAAAGAGGGTGAGAGTGCCAGAGGTCAGTTTATATAAAGTCATTGAGCAACTCCAGGTTTAATGTTTAATGAGTAAACTTAAGCTTGGCATGTCAATTAAAAATACGATTAGCTGCAGCACTGAAAAACTAAGGGCTAAGGAAGAGGAATGTTAAAGTGAGGAGGACGCATAATTCCTGGTTGGGGAAAGGGTCCTGCCTTTCATGACTCCCCGTACAGTGTCCTGGTAGATGATGAATACGGGGAGACAGAAAACTTCGTGGATTCTAATGATTGCAATATTTGGTTTTAGCCAATACGTTTCAAGAAGTTCTTTAGTTCAAGAGTTCTGCAAGGAGCAACTTCAAGTAGAAAATTTCAAAAGTAGACCCTGTATTACGCTTCAGAAATAACATTTTGAGGGGACTATTTCATTCTATACAAAGAGTAAGTTGGGCCGAAACTGGTTTGGCTCGGTGGCTAGAGCGTTGGCCTGTGGACCGAGGGGTCCTGAGTTCGATTCCGGTCAAGGGCATGTACCTCGGTTACGGGCACATCCCCGATGGGGGATGTGCAGGAGGCAGCTGATCGATGTTTCTCTCTCATTGATGTTTTTGACTTTCTATCCCTCTCCCTTTCTCTCTGTAAAAAAATCAATAAAATATTAAAAACAAAACAAAACAAAAACAAAAACAAAGAGTAAGTTGTCCAGAGGGATGGCTATGCATCCTAAGCCTCCCAAGCCTTGGAAGACGAGGGCATGTAGGAGCCTCACGGAGACCTGCCCCAGCTGCTCGCTTGATCCAGAACAACCCATGCTCTTTGTCCTCCTAAGATTCCCTCTTCCTAAGAGGGAGTCTGACGAGGCCACTTGTCACTCTCTGATCAGGAGCTCTCCTGATGGGCACAGAGCCTCGTGCCCAGTGGCCTCAGAAGCAGATGGCTGCCCTTACATATAACATTGTCCTCTTTTCCGTGAGCCTGGCCATGACTGTTGGGTTTCTCTTCTTACTGTGTGGCCCACGTGGCGATGCTGCCTTCATTCAGTGCACACGCAGCTGGAGTGTGGCAGTTTGTTTGCAGAAACAACCTCTGTGAGTGGCTTTCCTGAGAAGGGGACTAAAGGCATGCTAGACCTTGAAAGCTTCCTGGGTTTACCTGTAGGACTCGGAATAGGGAACTCATCTGATTAATTTTAAAAACTGGCTAATGGCTATTGAACATGCCACGGGCTATTGTGACATTCTGCACTCATGCCATAACTATATTTGGTCACACTGAATATGCAATATGACAATCTCTTAATGTCACTCATTAAAAGTGGTCCTAAATCAATTGCATCAAGATTTCCAGAGAGTGAGGTAGGCAGTTTCCAAATGTATTCTTTTTTTTTTTTTTTATCCTCACCTGAAGATACGCTTTTATTGATTCTTTAGAAAGAGAGGAAGGGAGAAGGAAAGAGAAAGAAAGAGAGAAACATTGATGTGAGAGAGAAACATCAATCGGTTGCCTTCCGTACATACCCAACTGGGGGTCAAACCTGCAACCTGGTTATATGCCCTGAGCAGGAATCGAACCCGCAACCCTTTAGTGCACAGGAGGACACACCAAACAACTGAGCCATACTGACCTGGGCCAAAATGTATATATTTTGATGGAGGCCATTGAAGACTCAGGATTGGATCCTTGGTTTTGAGGATTAGAAACACCATTTTAGCTAATTCAAAGTTGATCTTTTTAGGAACTGATTCCCAGTAACTATTCAGCAGAGACTAAATGTCCTCCTCCTGACCAAGTTGTTATTTTATCCCAGAGACTAAAACTGGCACCCCACCAGCCTGATCATATGCACAAGATACTTCCCCCTGATGGAAAGGCACCCCTAGGACATCAAAGTAAAGACCAGGAGGTTTAGTGAGTATTGATTTAGGTCCAAGGGAATTGAGTGTTCTTTTTTTTATTTTTTATTTTATTTTATTTTATTGATTTTACACAGAGAGGAATTGAGAGGGACAGAGAGTTAGAAACGTCAATGAGAGAGAAACATCGACCAGTTGCCTCTTGCACACCCCCCACTGGGGATGTGCCCGCAACCAAGGTACATGCCCTTGACTAGAATCGAACCCGGGACCTTTCAGTCTGCAGGCCGACGCTCTATCCACTGAGCCAAACCAGTCCCGGCGGGAATTGAGTGTTCTTAAGGGACATCCCGAGCAGGCTGAGGAGGTGTACAGAGTCACCTTTCTTTCCTCCACAGACACTGCTCTCTGGATACCAGATTTGGGTAACTAGTCTCAAGGCTTTTTGGAGACTTTTGCCACATTTTTGTTTCCCGTAACTGCCTTTTTGCACAGCTTCTGGGGATCATTTCTCTTCCCCTGAATGCCATTAATGGCACAGTGTGGAGTTGAGAAGACCTGGGTTGGAATCCCAGCAGTGACACTCGATTTATGATAATGAACAACGTTTATCCCCCTGCCTATCCCCCAACACCATCATAGCCGGAGCCTCCTTGCCAGCTTATCGCCAGGATGAATAGAACAGCAAGTGCAAACTTTCTGGCAGCGTGCTTGGCACACAGTAGCTGCTCAACAAAGGTCGTTATCATCACTTATATTTCGGAGCTTTGATTCTCTGAAATCTGAGGACATCTCAAGAACACCAACCATAGATTTATAAAGTGTCTCTAAAGGCTCGTAACCGCTTTAAAATCTTAATCTCATGTTACTAATACCATGGTGGTTAGTGTCATATTGATTATATATTTTTTATCCTGAATTTCAGAGAATAACACTTAATGACCTGAATGTGAGGGTGTATCAAATTTGAGGCTTGCAGCCATCCATGAACTGTATGAAATTTAGTAATGCCTGCTGGGCTTTCATAGGTCAAATGTTTGAGATCTGAGATCTCGTGTGGAATAAAGTAGACTCTATTAGGGACTGGCAAGCTCCCTACAATTAATAATAAAAAAGCATGCCACTTGCGGGATCTCTTAGAATTTTCCTCATTTGGAATTGTAGCTGGTCTATTGTGCTGTTTGATGAAAAAAAGAAAAGAAAAACAAGGGGGGGGGGTTTGAGGGGAGAGCAAACTCATTCAAGTGTTTGGAACCTACAGTGTTGAGCTATTTCCCGAAAGTTTAAGCAGGCTTTGACATCTTTCTCCATTTTGGAAGCTTCAGACTTCTCAAAGCCCTTCATACGGCAATTGATGCATG